TTCTGACACCAATTGTTACGAGCTTGAGGTTCGTGACAATAAAAGTTGGCGATAAAATTACCTAAATTAACACTTTAATTTACTTTACACAAATTAAAACTAAAAACACTAATAATTAAACACACTAATTCACTTAATTCCGCTCCGAAGCTTCGCTTGTGTCGCCGAGTTCAACTCTGCCCCCAATCGCATCTTGCAGCGCCTACTTATTTAAATTAGCAAAGAAATACCCAGAATGTTCAAGTAAACATGCGCAAGGTACCGAGCGTTCGAGTTTCGACTAGGCGCTGTCGGTTGAGTGATTTGTGATGTCATTTTCTCAATGCTCCCCTCGCTCTCGTTCCTGACACTAGATGGCGCTAGTGTATCGTCGACTTGAGCGCGTAACAATATCATATCATATCATCATAAACACTCACGCCTGTCACCCAGAGGGGTAGGCAGAGACTACGGACTTCCATTTGACACGATCCTGACATACCTCTTTCGCCTCCTTTACATCCATATATCTACGCATAAATGCTCGTCGGTTAAGGGTACTTTTAACGTGGCCCATTTTCAAAATATCGCCAATTTAGTCGATAAACTTTTTTCTAGGGCGAAGCGATCCCGACTCTGCCGTTCACATCTGCCATATAAATTTGCTTTGTCACTCTTTCCTCATTCACTTAATCCTGGTAAACATCATTTTGCATACAACATTTATCTCTTATCACGCAATTTCTCACCCTGTCATTCAGATTCAACCCTAACATACTTTTTAAAGACCGCATTTCTACAGCATTTATTCTACTTTCGTGCTTCTTCTGCCACACCCAGCTTTCACTACCATACATTAAAGTAGGGACTAACACAGCATTATGAATTACCATACGTGCCGTTTTTGATACATTCTGGTTCTTCACAATAGAGTGTAGTGCCCCATTCACTCTATTCCCTGCATTTACTCGTCGTTCTATATCCTTATCATATCTACCATCCCTGCTGTTACGAGCTTGAGGTTCGTGACAATAAAAATTGCCGATAGGATTACCTAAATTAACACTTTAATTTTCTTTACACAAATTAAAACTTAAAACACTAACAATTAATCACACTGATTCACTTTATTCCGCTCCGAAGCTTCGCTTGTCTCGCCAAATTCAATACTTCCCCGATCGCGTATTGCAGCGCCTTTATATAGGGCTCTTCCACGCAAACATCCAGAATATTCCAGAATATTCGAGTAAATACGCGCGCCAACCGACCAAGCGCAAAAAGTTCGAGTTTGGTGCTTCCAGAAAGCTTAGTTCTTCAATTCGATACTAGATGGCGCTATCGGTTGAAAGATTAGTGATGTAATTTTCTGGAAAGCTCTCCCCTCGCTCCGTTACCCGACACTAGAAGGCGCTAGTGCCAGATGTCAACTTAGCCGCGCAACACTGCCCCCTCCTAAGACCTGCTCGTCCCAAGCATTATCGGCCCCATAATAACGCGCCAGGTGATCCACATGGACGATCTTAGGAGTCCCTCTTGCGCCCTTCTGTATCCGATAGGTTACATTGTTGATCCTGGTCACAATCCGGTACGGGTCGTCCCATTTAGCTTGAAGCTTAGGAGATTTCCCTTTGCTGCGGACCGTATTGTGCAACACACTAGTGAACCTTCGTCGAACCCTTTGTTGTTCATTTTGCGGTCATACCGGGTTTTCATCTTTTCAGACATTTGCTGGCCCGATTGTCTGACATGCTCATAAATGTCATTCATTTTGTTCCGCAAGTCATTTGGATAATCGGTTATACTGCGTGGGGCATCAGGTGGTATCCCGGTGATCAGGTCTGCAGGCAGCCGTAATTCTCTTCCAAAGTTTGCGAAAGCTGGTGTCACTGATGTACTTTCGTGAACAGCGCTTCGATATTACAGCAAAAACGGTTGTATGTGCTTATCCCAATCTCGTTGCCGGTTGTCTACAACTTTTGCTAGGTACCTCTCCAATGTCTGATTAAATCGTTCTACAATTCCATCAGATTGCGGGTGATAAGAAGTCGTTCTTGTTTTATGAGTACCCATAACTCGGCAAGTTTCCTGGAATATTTGAGACTCAAAATTCCTTCCTTGATCGCTGTGAATTTCTAAAGGTACTCCAAAACGACAGAAGACTTCATGAACTAGCTTATCCGCAACTGTTGAAGCTTCTTGATTTGGAATGGCGAAGACTTCTGGCCACTTAGTGAAGTAATCCATCACAACCATGAAATACTTGTTACCGCTTTCACTCTCCGGAAAAGGCCCCGCCACGTCAATGGCTATTCTCTCCCATGGTGCACCAACATTGTACAACTTCAATGCACCTCTACTACGAGTCTGAGGTCCCTTTACAGCCGCACAACTTGTACATTTGCGACACCAGTCCTCGACATCGTTTCGACAGTGGACCCAATAAAACCGTTCTCGGATCTTCAGTAGAGTTCGTTTAACTCCCAGATGGCCTCCGGAATAATCATTATGGTACAGCTGTAGAACATCAAGTACTTTAGCTTTAGGGACAACCATTTGCAAATGACAGCTGTCTCTCCGAACATTTTTCCATTTACGGCACAGATCTCCATCCTGAAGCAGCAAGCTGTCCCACGGGCCCAATAGCTTTTAGTGATCGAACTCATCGCTGAGACGTCGCTCCACTTGGGCTTGGGAGCACTGGCCTTCATCCATTCTAGAATCGGCTTGATGTCCGGATCTTCCTGCTGTGTACGTTGTAAGCTGTCCTTTCACTCGTTGCTGAGGTGGTCTGCCCTGAGCATCCTCATGGATACCCCTTCCTTACTCTCTTGCCTAGTACAATGTTTGCAATCTTCAGAACAAGGTCTTCTTGACAATGCATCTGCGTTGCCATGAGATTTCCCGCTGCGATGTTCGATCTCAAAGTCGTATTCCTGCAGTAGTTCAATCCACCTCGCAACTTGTCCTTCTGGATTTTTAAACTGCAATAGCCATTTTAGTGCAGCATGGTCAGTTCGTAAGTGAAATTTTCGCCCCAGAAGATATTTGCTAAAATGCTGCAACGACTTTACCACAGCTAGCAATTCGCGTCTTGTAACACAATAGTTCCTTTCCGGTTTTGACAACGACTTGCTGAAGTACGCTATCACAATCTTTCGATCACCGTTCCGTTGAAACAACACACCGCCGAGCCCTGTATCACTTGCGTCTGTGTCAACTATAAATTCTTTGCTTGCATCAGGGTATCCCAAAATAGGTGTTTTGCACAGACGGTCCTTGAGCTCCTGGAATGCGATATTGCAACTTTCATCCCAGTAGAAATGTCGCTTCTCCTCGGTTAGCTTATGCAGAGGTTTGGCTATATCTGCAAAGTTCTTCACAAATCGCCGGTAGTAGGAGCACAAACCCAAAAATGCTCTAACCTGCGTCTTGTCTTTTGGAACCGGCCAATCCTTGACAGCGGCGATTTTCTCTGGATCCGTGCGGATACCTTCTTCCGATACTACATACCCCAAAAAGTTAACTTGCCGTTTGAATAGTGAACATTTCTTCGGACTCAACTTGAGGTTGGCACTCTGAATCTTCATGAGCACTCGTTCCAGGTTTTGAAGGTGTTCCTCAAACGTACGACCTACGATGATGATGTCATCCAAGTAGACCAGACAGGCATCGCCAATTAGTCCGGTAAGTACAAGTTCCATCAACCTTTCAAACGTTGCTGGAGCATTGCACAATCCAAACGGCATTACTTTAAATTGCCATAAACCCTTTCCCGTCGAGAACGCAGTTTTCTCCTCGCCCTTAGGGTCAATTTAAACTTGCCAGTAGCCACTTTTTAGATTCAGCGTGCTAAACCACTTTATTCCTGTAAGCATGTCCAGCGTGTCATCAATTCTTGGCAAGGGATAGCTGTCCTTCTTCGTAACGTCGTTCAGACGGCGGTAGGCAACACAAAACCGCATGCTGCCATCCTTCTTCTTTAACTTATACTGACTTATAAGTTGGGAACTAACAACCGTACGAGAGGCTCCAGTGTCTATTGTCAGTTTACACGGCATTCCGTTGACCTCGCCCTTGATGATTAGACTGTTACCATCATGGGTTTGTGAGATCGCGATCCTTGGGGCTCTTTTAAAATCAGCCAGCACCTACCCCGCAGTTCTGGCCTTTACTCGTTTCCCTGCTGCTGCTGGGCGGTGCTGTTGGCCGCACTACCCTCCTGAGATCGTTCAACTTCCCTTTCTAGGGTTCGCTTAGGGCAACTATATCGAAGATGGCCCTTTTCCCCACAGCCATAGCACCTAGGGCTGTATCCTTTGTTGCGGTCGCGAACTGTAGTTGCTGCAACTGACGCGATGGGAACGATGATCCTGCCGCACGGCTTCCACCTCCAGTGCATGGGCCAAGGCGTCCTTAAGCGTCTCGTGGTGCCCGAGCCTCACAGCAGCTCTGACTTCCAGGTCGCGGATGCCGTCGATGAATGACTGCACCAGGTTCCCTTCAATGAGCGCAGGTACAGACCGGTATGCTTTTCGCACCAGATTCTCCACCTCTAGAGCCCACTGCTGCAGGTTTTCGTTAATGCGCCGTACGCGATCTTTAAGCTGCGCACGAAAGACGTGTTCCAGGTGAGCGTCGCCATATCTCGCCTCCAATGCCTCAAGGAGTTGCTTATAAGTCACTTTCTCACCGAGAGCTTCCAGAACTGTTAAGGCCCGGTCGCGCAGGCCTAGTGTGAGAGCAGTCATGGCCTGACTTTTATTCCAGCCGTTTGCTTTCATAACAGCCTGGAATTGGATTTTGTAGGCCGCCCAGGAAGAAGTCCCGTCGAACGGCGGCACTTTGAATCCACGTACTGAAGGTGTTGTAGCTACTACGGGAGGTGTAGTTCCATCCCCCAGTTTGAGATCGTCCAGCGTTTTCTTCACGTCAGCCATCACGTTGTCAACGCGATTGTTCACTTGGTCGATTCGGGTTTCAGATTTCTCAATTCGGGTTTCAGCTTCTGACAAGCGGTTGTCATGTTGAGCAACCCTATCCTTCACCTCCTTCATCTCCTTCCCGAAGATAGCGTGAAAGTCCTTCATAAAGAGCATCTGCTCTTCCAACCAACGGGCGTGTTCCTCTTGTCCGCCCCGCAGCTGCTCTTCCAATCGGCGTGCCTGTTCCGCCTGCTGGCGGGCCTGTTCCTCCTGCTGGCGAGCCTGTTCCTCCTGTCGGCGGGCCTGCTCCTCCTGTCGGCGAGCCTGCTCCTGCAGCATCACCATCAGAGCACCTAAGTCAGGTGCTGCAGATGTAGGAGCTACTGACGGGCCTGCAGCCGGCGGCTGGCCCTCCGTAGTCTGCGGCGTTGCACCACCATTCTTTGGTCCGTCTCCTGCTGACGTTGACTTCGGGTACGGACACCCTCAGTTTCCTCCTTAGGTAAAATCGGCATGATTTTATCCCACTTCTGACACCAATTGTTACGAGCTTGAGGTTCGTGACAATAAAAATTGCTGATAGGATTACCTAAATTAACACTTTAATTTTCTTTACACAAATTAAAACTTAAAACACTAACAATTAATCACACTGATTCACTTTATTCCGCTCCGAAGCTTCGCTTGTCTCGCCAAATTCAATACTTCCCCGATCGCGTATTGCAGCGCCTTTATATAGGGCTCTTCCACGAAAACATCCAGAATATTCCAGAATATTCGAGTAAATACGCGCGCCAACCGACCAAGCGCAAAAAGTTTGAGTTTGGGGCTTCCAGAAAGCTTAGTTCTTCAATTCGATATTAGATGGCGCTATCAGTTGAACGATTAGTGATGTCATTTTCTGGAAAGCTCTCCCCTCGCTCCGTTACCCGACACTAGATGGCGCTAGTGCCAGATGTCAACTTAGCCGCGCAACACTGCTAAATACACATCCCATATACACAAACTCATCCACTTGCTCAATTAACTCTCCTTCTATTCTTATTTCACATACCGTTTTGCTTTCCTCTCTTTCAAAAACCATCACTTTCGTCTTACTTGCGTTCACTTTCATTCCCCTTTCTTTTAATGCCCAGTTCATTAATGTAACCATCATTTGCAACTCAGCCGCCGACGACGCAAATATGACTTGATCATCGGCGTATAAAAGGCATTTGACGGTTAATTCTTAACCCACATTCTTCATCTTTCAAAGTTTGCAAACACCTGTCCATAAATAGGTTGAACAGCCAAGGGGAAGCCACACAGCCTTGTCTGACACCTTTTCGGATGACAAACCAGTCCGAGTAGACCCATTGATCCTGACACAAGCCCTAGTATCCCTATAAAGAGACCTCAATGCCTGTATCAAACCAGCGCTCAACCCATATTAGTTCAGTGTTTGCCATAACACATTCCTGTCCACTCTGTCATAAGCCTTTTCCAAGTCCATGAACGCACAAAAAACTTTCTGGTTTTTAGCCAAAAACTTCTCCGCAATCATGCGCATGGAAAAGACTTGATCTGTACACCCCATACCCTTTCGAAAACCCGCTTGCACATCCCAAATTTTTCCATCAGTTTCTTTCATAACTCTTTCAATTAACACCTTAGCATACAGTTTACCTACAATACTAAGCAAGCTGATACCACGGTAGTTTTTGCAGTCCTGCTGTGAACCTTTTCCTTTATATATTGATACTAAAACTGCTTTACACCAGTCATCCGGTACCCGTTTTAATTCCCAACACAAATTAAACAAGGTGTACAGCAGGCCTGCCACCACTTTCTCTCCAGCCCTTAGCATCTCGGGTGATACTCTATCATATCCAGCTACCTTACCTGCTTTCATTCTTTTCATTGCTTTCATTATTTCATCTACACTTATCTCCATACCCCTTTCCACTTCTTATGGAATTTCTTGTTCATTTAATTCAGACGACTCTTCACTCATAAACACGCTTTCCAAGTATTCCTTCCATCAGGGGCCCCGAACGTGTGTAAGCAAAAATTCGTAAATTATCGTATATTGTTATCCGCAATCTCACTCTAACTCTTAGGCCGTATTTCCCAAGAAAAAAATCATATCAAATAGTGCCCAACGTACCTAAAGAAGACCCGTCAAAATTTAAGGAGCAGTGGCTTAGCAATGAGTTGCAGCGCTAAGGGCCGCGGGTTTGAATCCCGCACGGAACAAGTATTTGTATGGCCTACAAATAATTGTTCCCGGTCCTTGTGCAATTTACAGCATGAAAATAATGACTTACAGAAAGCTAACATTTTACTAAGTAAGCTTTTGAATAGATTTTGCGAAATAAGAAATCAAAGTTCATTCCATAGTATGCTGAGCGAGTCCAGAGATAAGCATAAGGGTGGGGTGTAAAAACTGCTTCCAAAAATAAAAGAAAGAAGATAACGAAGAGTTTTTTTTAATGTAAAATATTAGAAGGTGAGAGAATTTCATACCCGGAATCGTACTTCAAAGTCAATGTGTACTACTGCTGTTTAGACATAAACTAAACAAAGATTTCAGAGCCTCTGAAACCTAAGTAATGTACGAAGTATTACAACTACTTCGAATACATTAGATAAATAGATAATTAGGTAATAGATATTTAGGTACCACATGAGCTCCTAGAGAACCTAAGGTATCGTGTACTCATTTGCGATTCTCTATTGAAACGTAATAAAACTGAAATAATTTTGCAAAGATTAATCACTGGTTTTGGAGTGGATCACCTACAACAAGATCGTGCAAAACTCTTGGTCAAAGGGTAGTCAAGTTCACAGACTGTAGCGGAACCCGGATTAACACGCAATAAGGTGATGCTGTGTGTATGATGGGATTAGAAGAGCATCGTTTATTATGAGCTTTTACATCTGGGCAAAAACATCGATTTGGATATCTACTGCCAACAACTAATAAAACTTAAGCAAGAAATTGAGAAAAAACGGCTAGAATTGACCAATAGAAAATGAGTGGTCTTTCGTCATGATAACGCCAGACCACACAGATTTTTAGCCACTCAGCAAAACTTGAGAGAGCTTGGTTGGGAAGTGTTAATGCATCCACCATATAGTCCTGACCTTGCACCCTCAGATTTTCACCTTTTTCGGTCTCTTCAGAAGTCTTTGGGTAGTGTTAACTTAACTTCAATAGAGGACTGTCAAAACGACTTGTCGTATTTTTTGATCAAAAATCCCAAAATTTCTTCAGCAACGGGATTATGTCATCTACCTACAAGATGGCAACAAGCTATCGAACAAAATGGCACATATATATGTCATAATTAAATGCAATAAAACTTTAAATAAAAATGTGTATACAAATACGAAGAAACTTTTTTCCCGACCTATTAAGTTCGCCGAAGAAGACAAGTGTATATTTGATTTGAATTGTTTGTCTAGATTAGTTCCTAAGTAGTATTTATAGTAATTATTAATTTATAATCAATATATAATTATTGTAATTCATGCGAGTGGTTTTGGGACTTTCATTTGGACCCCCCAACAAATCTTGATACAGGGCCCGTCTAAGGCACACTACGCCACTGATTCCTACACAAACAATTGAGTTGCCAAATGCAAAAAACCGTGTTACACCCTGTCATGTCTATGTTCTGGAGGGGGTGAAATGTTTAAATATTCATTTCGACCCATTCAAAAAATCAAAGATTATTGGTCAGGTGTCAAAAAGATAAATGTTATAAATTCTTTATTCAACTGGGATATTATGTAACTCTTTCGAACATCTTTCATGGAGACCGAGGGGCCCCGGGGGCACTGCCCCTCCTAGCCCTAATGTAGTTTAGTTTAGTAGTAACGCCGGCAATTTAAAATAATTAAACACGATAAAATCCATGTAAATAGTTTTAATCAATGTGTGGTGTTCGCGTAAATATAAGAAATCATTAGACTACTAAGTAAACAGGCAAACGACCACGCAACAATGACGCATTAATTGAAATGAACAGAATTAGAAATATGTCCAGCGATAACTAAAAAATAAATTAATAGTTAAAAAGACATTTTTAAAAACAAGCTTTTATTTAAATGCTTTAAAAGAAGAAAATAAATTTTAAGTTAAATCAAACTCATCAATTTATAACATTACATAATTTATATGATTAAAAAGCTACATATAAATTATGTGATATACTAGTGTACGTCAACAAGAATACAATATGCAACTCGATCTTGACATAAGTTATTCCAAGAAAAAAAATACTGCTTTATAGTATAGCACGTGTAATTTTACACCATGGCATGCAACGCCGTCTTAGGCTATACCGGAGCCCTTGGGCACACAATAATTTGGGGCCCTGTTGGAAATTAAAAAAAAGTTAATGACAAAAACATTTTTCCGCTATGATCTTATATCTATTATAGTAAATTGGTAAAAATCAAATAATGTGTTAATAATAAGGACATCCCCATTTTTTCTGCCACCAGGGCGGCGCTACTTTACAATGAGGTAAAATATTTGACAGATTTTATAGCAGGGACGATAATTTCTTAGGAAAATGTAAACTTTAATGTTTCTTTCTGTATCATTAGTTATATTTTATATTAATTAGATAAGAAATGAATAAGCCAAACTATAAATATAACTAAAAGTTGAAAAATTAAAAAAAAGAGTTATAGAATGCAAAAAATTAAAAACCAAACCACTGACGCATTGTGTAGTGTATTAATATAATATTCTAGACTCTAGATAATGATAAACTATTATTTAAAACTAATTTCTCAATTAACTTACATTGTGTAACAAAAAACTTTACCTCAGTTACAACTAGCGACATCTGGTGAGCGGAAGATTATAATCTCTCATTTGATTGGATTAGATTGTTGGTGGTTTAAATTGGTTACCATTACTATTATTTTCTTTTTTGCCTATTACTATTATTCCTTCCTCTGTGGTGCCCATTGGAGGCAAATCTCAGCCATGGTTTGGTCGCTCCTGTAAAATAGCATCATGCTATAAGCAGGAGTGCTACCAAGCCTGGGCTGACGCATCAACGCCCCGGGATGTAAACACCAGCGCTCTAAAAAAGAAGTATAATTCCGCCTCTAGGTTCTTCAAAAGAGTCATTGCCAAGGCAAAGTCAGAGCACATAGGCAGAATTGGCGAGAAACTAGTTCGCCTTCCGTCTGGAACCCGTGCATTCTGGTCTCTCGCCAAGGCTGTCCAGGGGAATTTCTATCAGCCATCTCTTCCATCTCTGCACAGGGAGGACGACTCACTGGCCCATGCCGCAAAGGAGAAAGCCGATCTGCTGGGCTCTTTCTTTGAGTCCAACTCGACTCTGGATGACGGGGGGAGTACGCTGCTGACCATCCCGCGGTGTGAGTGCTCCATGCCGGAAGTGCAGTTTATACAGCGCTCGGTTCGCAAAGCACTCCTCTCCCTGGACATCCACAAGCCGAGTGGGCCTGATGAAATCCCTCCAATTGTGCTGAGGATGTGTGCTTCAGAGTTGGCACCGGTTTTAACGCGTCTTTTCGGTACTCCTACTCCCTAGGCGTAGTCCCAAAATCATGGAAGACGGCTTTCGTCCACCCGATCCCTAAAAAAGGCGACCGCTCAGACCCGTCCAACTACCGGCCTATCGCCATCACCTCCTTGTTCTCCAAAACAATGGAGTCTATTGTTAACTGCCAGCTCACGAGGTACCTTGAGGATCACCATTACACTCATTAGTGATCGTCAATTCGGTTTTCGCCGTGGTCGGTCAGCTGGTGATCTTCTGGTCTACATAACTAACAGATGGGCGGAGGCAGTAGAGTCCAAGGTGGAGGCATTGGCCGTTAGTATGGATATTGCGAAGGCCTTCGATCGGGTTTGGCACAAAGCGCTTCTTTCGAAGCTCCCTTCTTATGGTCTTCCCGAAAAATTGTGCGATTGGATCACCAGCTTTCTTGCAGATCGGAGCATCAAGGTCGTTTTAGACGATGCAAGCTCCGATTACAAGCCTATTAATGCTGGTGTTCCACAAGGCTGCGTGCTATCGCCAACGCTGTTTCTTCTGCATATCAATGATATGTTGCAAACCCGTAACATTCATTGCTATGCAGATGACAGCACTGGTGATGCTCCTTACACCGGCTGTGCCAATATTTTTCGGGAAAACGTCTCCGAGTACCGGGACAAACTTGTGTCTGAAGTCGAGTCTTTGCTGAACAAAGTCTCGGATTGGGGGCGACTAAATCTAGTCCAGTTTAACGCCCAGAAGACACAAGTTTACGCGTTAACCGCTAAAAAGAACCTCTTTGTCGTATTTCCTCAGTTTCAAGGCACTCCCCTTGTTGCCTCAGCCAGTATCGGAATCCTCGGCGTTGACATATCAAGTGACGTGCAGTTTCGTGGTCACTTGGAAGAGAAGGCCAAATTGGCCTCTAAAAAGCTTGGCGTGCTCAGCAGAGCGGGACTGTATTTCATGCCGGCACACCGCCTGCAACTTTATAAGGCGCAGGTTCGGCCGCAAATGGAATACTGTTCCCATCTCTGGGCTAGGGCTGCCCAGTACCAGCTCCTTCCACTTGACCGCATCTAGCGCAGAGCGGCTCGAATCATCGACGACCGAGTGCTTTCCGATCGGGTCGATTCACTGGTGCTGCGAAGAGATGTTGCATCTATTTGCATTTTCTTTCGCATATACCATGGGGAGTGCTCCGAGGAATTGTTCGGATTAATCCCAGCCGCCAAATTTCGTGAACGCACTACGCGGCAAACGTCACGATACCATCCACACCATTTGGATGCTTGACGGTCCGCCACTGTACGTTTCAAAAGGAGTTTTCTTCCGCGTACGACCTCTGTGTGGAATAGTTTACCACCGACGATTTTTCCGGACCGATACG